GTGTGTCTCAGACTAGGCTGTCATAGGGGGCTTTTTGGAGAGGCGGAGCTATCAGAAGGCGCGGCTGACTACCAGCTGTCAGGGAAAGAGGGAGAGGGGTGGCGCTTTGAGAAAGAGAGGGGGCGCGGCCGAGACGGTTCTGTCAGACGGAGGGGGTGTGTCTTGTGGGGGCGGGCCCCTCAGTCAGGGCGGGGGGGAGTGGTAAGCTCTGGCTCCAGGATGCCCGCGCATGCGTAGATGTTTGTTTTGACTGAAAATGCCGTCGGTTTCGAAAACGGCGCTGAGCGGGTCCCCGCAGACCGAGAAACCGACTCACTACACGTAAGTGTGCGGCACGGGGTAGGCGGGTCGGCTTAACATGAGCAGGTGTTGCATATCTTTTTTTTTTTTTTTTTTTTTTAATTTATATATATATTTTTTGCAGCAGCACAAGACACTAATAGCTTGCCGAGTGAATGGCGCCATGGCTTGTCTGGTGCCCGTTCTCCCTCCGTGTGCAGGCGGCTCCCCGCCGCTCCTCCCGCTCCGGCTCGTTGTCTGTGTGTGGAGTCGTTACGTCAGTGTCGTGGCGTAGCTCTCCCCTTCACACAGCGCAACGGCGCCTCAGGTTGGCGCAAGACGTGTTGTAGAATAGCGCTGTGAGCAGCGGCGGCGGCTCATTCCTGGACACACAGCCGCCTCTCCTCCTTCACCGTGGAAATAAAAGGCCGCCGGTCCCCTCATGTCTTCTCCGCTCCTTCCCGCCATCTCACCCCGAAGTACGGAGAGTTCTTCCCATCTGTCCGCTGTCTCCAGTCATCTCACATTCCAGCCCGCTGCCCACATCTGTCCCTGAGGGCTCCCTGTCACCTATGGCGGGAGCTGGACTTCTCTATGTGTGGAAACTCCTCACTTATCACAGTGACCCCCCTCCCCACATACAGCTCTACATTACCCCTATGGGGTCACCTGACCCGCCACAGGCTTGTACAGTAAGTCCCTCATCTGTTCACATCTGTGCGCCAAAACGCACACACTCAGCGGCTTCGACAGCACCTCGCTGTAGGGCCGCATTCACCTCGCTGTAGGGCCGCATTCACCTCGCATTCATCTCTTCACATAGGAGAAAGGTGCGTTCCTGCTAGCGCAAAGAAGCTCTGAAATCTTTTCAGGCATGGAGTAGCGCATTTTTTCAGCATGCGTTTATAGCGTGTCAAAACGTGCGTCTGCTAACCATGCTTGGGGTTGCACATTTGCTGCACGTCTCCAAACGCACACTTTGCCATGTGTTCCGGAAAAGCCAAGTGTGAGTGGAGCCTACATCCTATGTAAGGCCTCGTTCACACATAGGGGTTTATTTACTAAAGATGGCGAGGGCAAAATCTGGCTAATTCCTGCTTCTCACCTCGGCTTGTTCATTTAACTGCTTTCCTGATACCTAATAGTAGAAGTACTGCTAAAGGGCAGCTGGGCTGTGCAAAATCACATAGATATACACTCTTTGCATTTCTGGCTGGAGGGGGCGCATACCACCCTACCTGTGCCGCCATTGGTGGCAAGGGATGTCAATCACCAGGTCTTGGCCGGAGATTCCCCGCCGGCAGTCGCCTTGTAGAAGTGACAGGGGAGAGACCTGTGTGCTGTCAACAAGGACATGCTGCTGTGTATTTCTCTGCACAGTGGCTGAGCTGCGGCTCTGTGTGTTTTATGGACACATAGAGCAGCGGCTCAGGGATGAGCACACAGCGGTGCCTCCAGGGCACTGCTTGAGGGGGAGGAGCCAGGAGTGCAGGCGGGGATCCGAAAAGAAGAGGATCTGGCTGCTCTGTGCTAAAAACCACTGCCCAGAGCAGGTAAATATAGACACCTTTGTTATTTAAAAAGAAAGAAAGAAAAAAACTGACGCTTTAGTGTCACTTTAAGCTTTGGTAATAAAACCTGGAAGCTGTGCAGAAGTGAGCTGATTTTGCACTCTCTGGCTTTAGTAAATAAACCCCAAAGTGCCCATCGTTTTTTAGGTGGACCTGATTGGATCGTCTGTTTGCCCAATGTAGAAAGAATCACTACTCAGGCGGAACACTGTCAGACTTATACAGCCCTCGTGTGGGTGCCCACCACGGCTCTCCACCGCAACACTGGTCATTGTAGAATGGCTGCACACCACTCTAGAGCTGTTTTAAACTGTTTATTCCATCAAATCTTCAAGTAAGGACAGCACACCAGATAAAGGACACAAGTAGCTGCTTGTTTATGTATTTCACAGGAAATTGTACTTGTGTCCGTTTACACCTGCCTACCTCCGATCTGATTTAACAAAAAATGTGGAAGGGGATCTGTCCTCTTTGGTCTGGGTGGATTGGATTGGAGGTAATCTGGTGTGAATGGACAGTGGAGACTGTTTACACCTGGCCGCCCATAGAGCAGAGTGGGTTCTGTTCCTGTCCACTCTGCAGAAACTGAGCGGACACGGACCTGTCATGCATCCGCTCTGCTCTGATCAGCAAACGGATCCCCTGCTGATGAAAATGGAGTTAGCCCCGTGTGAAAGGGACCTTATAGTTCACCTCTTTCGGCAGCGTTTTGAAGGCTCACTCACACTGGCACGCTTAAAAACGCAGTATGCGTCTTTAAAAAATGCATATCACATTTTTAGCACATTTCATTAAAATTTAGGCTGCGTTCATACCCAAGCGTCATTCTTTTTGCGCCTTTTGTGCTTCAGGCATTTCTGTATTCGCCTATAGAGAACAGTGTCATCTGTGACATCACTTGTTGCTTTGTGGACATATCTTAAAAACGCACATAGACACATCTTTGCGCGTACCAGTACAATTCTGTGAGACTCAAAATGCCCCAAAATGCTGCAATCAGCCCCAATTTGAGCTACAAAAGAAGCTCCAGAACTCTTTTGAGCTATGGGCCCATAGAGAATAGTTGATTTTTTTTTTTTTTTTTTTGTTTGTCTGAGCGTTTTGTAGCATCAAGCTACAAAACGCTCAGGTGTAAATGCATCCCGTAATACAGTGCATATACTGTATTTACTTGTTTTAGGTACTTATATAGTGCCGACCATATATACACATAGTATATTCACATCAGTCCCTGCCCTCAAGGAGCTTAAAATTTATGGTCCCTCACTCACATTCATACATACATACTTCGGACAATTTAGAAAGGAGCCAATCAACCTACCAGCATGTTTTTGGAGTGTGGGAGGAAACCGGAGTACCTGGAGGAAACCCATGCAGGCCCAGGGAGAACATGCAAACTCCAGGCAGGTTGTGTTGTGGTTGGGATTCAAACTGATGACCTTAGTGCTGCTAGGTGGAAGTGCTAACCACTTAGCCATTGTGCTACCCTTAAAAGTATATATGTTTTAGATGCGTTTTGCATGTGTTTCCCATGCGTTTTGATCCCTGGTCAGTTGAAAAAAAATTGTCAGGTCACTCAAGAAGCGCAGCAAGGTCTGATCACATAGACTTTCAATGGAAGGTGTGTTGGTGCATTTTTGAAATGGAACTCCATAGATGCAGTGCTTTTCAAATTTTTTTTTTGCCTTTAATGCATTCTCTTCATTAATGTAATAAATCCTTTCAATAGCAGCCTCTTTCCCCTTCCCCTCCAGCTTCGCCTTAAACAGTTACCTGAATCCATTCTCTATCCAGTGCTGTCCTGTCTGCAGCAGCACTGCTCTCTCTTCCTGTATTCACAGAGCAGATTTATAGCAGCAGGAGCCAATGGCTCCTGCTGCTGTCAGTCAAATCCTGCGAGGCGGGGCCAAGTTGCGATGTGAGCCTGTGGACGCACACAGCCAGGCTCGGGAGCCTATATTGGCATTCAGAGAAGAGTAGGAGTGGAGAGCACAAGTAGGGGATCCCTGAAGAAGAGGTTCAAGGCCGCTCTGTGCAAAACCATTGCACAGTGCAGGTAAGTATAACATTTTTTTTAGTTTTAGGAAAAAGATGTAGGTGTACAACCGCGCATCAGTGTGAACATTGCATAGTGTTCTACACTTTTAGAATCCTGCTAGCTGCATCTTTAGTGCGTTTTTTGTGAAAATTGCACCTTCCATCATAGTCAGTGATTGTGCACTAAAAACACAACATACTTTTTTACTGCATTTTTTGAGTCACATTCCCAGTTTTCCCAGGTGACCAGAGAGGAAAACACATGTAAAACATACACTGTGTTGAATTTTAACAGAACAGTTCACAGATGTGAACAGGTTCTAACATACATTTAGGGCTCATTCACATGGGCATAGAGGGCAGTACACGATAAACAATGAGAGCTGCCTTTACAGATCAGTGATGCCAGTAACTGCACATCTGTTTATATGTGTACAGGGATGGAGTGACTTCAGCTCAGACACAGGTGTACATCCATCCCTGTATGCATATAAACACTCAGATGTGTGGTTACCAGCATCACTCGTCTGTACCGGCAGATACGCTCACTGTACAGCTCTTTGTAGGACCTCTAACAGCAAAAAACTGCTCTGCTGTATGCACCCCTCTTCCTCAGTCAGCAAGCTTGTAAGGCCTCATTTACTTGCGTGTCCTTTGCAGGGCTGTTTTTTGGGGCACGTGGCTGCACAGATAAAGTTGCTGTGTCTCAGTAGGAAATTTGTGCATGTCCCCAAACTCACCCTGGGTGTGTCCGTGGCTGTGCACTTGCACCCGGATTGAAGACCCCGTGTCAACAAAATTTTAACCTGCGCAGGACACACAAGTAGTTGGCCATGTGAACAAGGCCTAAATCCAACATTTTTCTTCTTTCCTTTTTATTTTATTTTATTTTTTTCGTTCCTCCCCGCCCCTGCCTCCATTCTTGCCTAGGCGAGGATAACGTCGGCCGTGCTCCAGCAGCCTCCTGTGATATCCACATCAGATATACCAGGAGACGTCGGCCTCCATACAGCAGCTGGATTCGGAAAGACTCGACGGCGTGTAATCAGGGGGGAAGCTGCAAAAACCCAGAAAGAACAGCCAGACCCCGATGACCCCCAATAAGGAAAGAAGATGGCATGGGGCTCAGAATGCTGTAGCGGATCACAGCAGGATTTGCTGGGCATGTGAGTATGTTACTTGAAAAAGGTAAGGGGGGGCTTAAAAGTAAAATTAAAGTAGAACTGAAGACACTTTAATAAAACTTGCGAGCAGGCAGGCTATTTATTGCAGAAAAGCCGTGCAATGTCTCTTCTGCCATAAAAGTACATCTACCTTCCTAACTGCAGTCTTATGTGGCATACAAACTGAGCTGCGCATGGTCCCTGTATGCCGAAATGACTGACGTAGGAGTTACTGCATCCTGCACCAGTCAATGATGCCCAAACACCTGTATCTGGCAGGAGCTAGGGAGAAGATACTGGCAAGGGACTCCTTGTGGACTTAGGACCAAGAGGAGGTAAATATAGTGACTTTAGTTGTTCTTTACCCCTTTGCAGGTGGAAGATTGGTGAAGTTCCTTTTTAAAGCAAAATGGTCATGGCAAACAGAGAGTCTGCTTTTTGTGCAAGCCCCTGCTTCCCCAACATAAATGACCCTAAAAAGCTATTTGTAAGCAAACCGATCACTTGGGTAAAAAAAAATACTTCGGCCCCGGCCTTTCACCGTGCCTCACCGCTGCCTCTTGGGATAGCTGAGTACCTAAAAATCCTGTGAGATTACATTCTTGCAGTGAGCCGAAATGTATTCCTATGGGATATTGAGCTTCTGGCCTCTGCAAGATGGCAGGGTGATGTATTAGTTCCTTTTAGAAGTGTTGGAGGCTGGGGATGAGGTAAGTCGTTAATTGTTTCCCAGGTGATCTGTTTATAAATGTTCTTTTAAAGCCCTGGGGGCGGCTTGCAAAAAAGCGGACCTTCTGGTTGTCATTTGGTTTGAAAGGCACAACGATGCACTAACTCAATGTAGCGCAAATGCGCATGTTGCAGTGCCCCACAAGGCAAGGCAATACACTAAGTGCTCATTTGCACTTACGGCTGGGGGTCTACACTTGCAGTTGAGCAGAGCCATGTTTTTACTGCCTCCTCAACTGCACCCTCTTAAGCTGCAAAAGCAGTGGCCAGGGGTACACAAGTACAGTTGCTTTGTGGTTGCTGCAAGAATTATACTCCTTGTTGCATTCGGGAGGCACTACCACTTGCCAAATGCAGTCTATTCAAGTGCAGTTGAATGCTGCACTCCAACCGCCTTACAACTGCATGCGGTTGTGCTGCGGTAATTTTGGAGGTTAAAACAGTTAATGAAGAGGCAACATATCGCGTCTTCACCATCTGTCAAACGCCTCTGAGAGGGATCCAAGCTTGGGTTGCTTTTCAGAGGACTGGCAGTCCTTGCTGCTAGGGTAAGCAAGCCTTATGAAAGGTTGTGGTACACTTTATTGCCAAACATGTTGCCAGTCCACTTTTTGGACATCTGAGGCCCTCCCAGCTCATTCATTTGAACAGACTACCTTAATGCAACACACGTAAAAATCCAAAACGTTATAAAACTTTGGAGCTGCCCTTGGACCCCCCTTCTCCCAATCCTTGTGTCATCCGTGTTTTATACACAAGTACAGAAATCCCCCATGATCTGTGTGAATCACCCATAACCTTCTATACTGTTGTGTACAAAACTATATGCTGTATGTGGTATTTTTGATGCCTGTGTGGATGAGCCTTTAGGGTTATGTTAGAACTAGAGTTCAGGAACACTGACATGCAGGAGGCTTTTGTGTAATATTGGTCACAGGACTCTTCCCTGCATTTGTGGCCAGCAACCTCAATAGTTCACTAGCTGTACAGATTGGGACCCAGTTTACTGGGTTCTGCAAAGTTTAAATACTTGTCCACCCAGCGGATCAAGTGTTGTCCTACAGAATCGTCTTCTCTTTTGCCACCGATTGGGTCCTGCTCCGCCATGTTCTTTGTGATGACATTGGGAGGCTGCTGGCTCTTCAGGTTCAACTGGCAACCTCCTAATGATGTGCCACCAGGCCTGCCCCTCCTCTTCTATTTAGTGAATGGAAGACTATGCCTCCTGGGATATGACATGCATGTACCCGGAGGCACAAGGAGCACAGCACACATCAGTCGCCTAGGTAAGTGACGTGCATGGCAGGCTGGACCCAACCCTGTAAGGTGGAAAACCTATCATGTCCACCCCTAAATACCTACCCGAGCTTGATCTGGCTCTGTGCTCTGAGAGCAGCAGCGCTGTTTGGTGTCTCCACATAGGTTCAGAGGAGGAGCGGGAGCAATTAGTGTCCACTGCTGTCAGTTAAAACTGGAAAGCAGGAGTTGGGGCCAAGCTGCACTATGTGTGGATATGGACATACAAAGCCAGCTTAGGAGTGAGCCAACAGCATGTCTGCCCCCATAGCAAGATCTTGCTATGGGGGCAGACACTGAAGAGAAGTGGAGTACACTGGTGGGAGATTCCAGAAGAGTAGGATCAGGCTGCCCTGTGCAAAACCATTGCATAAAGCAGGTAAGTATGACATGGTAATGAGAGAAAAGAAAAAAAAAGAACAATTCCAATCACTTTAAATCTTTGTCTGCTTTACCCCAGGTTCATACCTAAGTGTTTTCTGCAGCATTTTGCAGAAACGCAGTACTGTCCCATTTAACATGATTTCTTATGGGACATGTTCTCATCTCTGTGTTTTTACCTGGTGCATTTTTTGGAAAGGGTCAGGGACTTTTTTTAACGCAAAAAGTTGAATTTTTGGTTCTATAGACTTCAATGGAAATGCTGCAGAAAAGCATGTAGTGTGTTTTTGGTGCGTATTGTGTCTGCCGAGCAACCCGAAAAATGAAGAAAAAACGAAACGCAATGCAGAATCGGCTCAAACGCAACCTACATAGGTGTGCACCTAGCCTTAGTATTGTAGTTTCCAGCCACATTACAAATGTTACATTGTTTACTAGAGAACAATAAATCGATGCACAGGTAGGTCTGACTTTGAAATTCGCCTGCAAATGTTCTTGCAGACTACTATATCATCTAAACGTCACACAGTTTGTAAAGGATAATTGACTGGGCAAATATTAGGAATCAAATCAGTTTGCTCATCAATAATTTCCACTAACTGCTCTTGAGGCTGCATTGTTTTAGATAAATGTCATGCCTCGAAATCTAATAATAATAGACTTTGTGTTATTCATTGCTGCAAATAGAGCTCACTTGATGCTTGGGTGTTAATTATATTGTTATGTGGTTTTTATGTGACTGCAGATTATAAATTCAATGCAGCTTTTGTTGCTTCTCTTTATCAGTCTATTAGCAGCATCTTTTTTTTTTCTTTGCTTAGCTGTAAGAATGAAAGGTTAACACGTGTACTTATTACTGAGGGCATTTGAGGTAAGCCAGTGTGTGTGAGCATAAAAGATTACAGCACTTTAGTGAACATTCATAATAATGACAACCCTTTATCTCAGAGACAGGAGCCATAAAACATATATAGGAGACCTAACCACCTTCATCTGGAAAACAGCTGGAGCTTTAATTCACTCTAAAACGATAGGTGCCTATGTGCACTCTTCTTTGTGTCTGCTTGGATTAACTAGTTGCCGAGTGCAGGTAGCCGAATGATGGCTGCACTGCGGCCGGCCAGTTCTGGGAGGCCGCCATATGACGTCCTTCCGAACGCGCTCTCCTGCGCACCCCCGGCCATCACCCTGATCGCTGTGTCCTACGGACACAGCTGATTACGTGATGTGGTAAAAGGCCAATCACAGAGGCCTTTTAACACGTGATCAGCCGTGTCCAATGACACGCTGATCACCGGGAAATGCAATTGCCGGTTTTCGGCTGCACTTTCCTCACACTGTCAGAGCGTGAGGAAAGTATTGCAGAGAATTGGCAGTTGTCAGAGCAGGGATCGGCACCGATCATCAGTGCCCTGATGGTCGGTGCCTAGCAGTGCCACCCACCAGTTCCGCCCACCTGTTCCCATCAGTGCCACCCACCTGTGCCCATCAGTGCCTACCAATGTCTCCCAGCAGTTGCGCCAGTCAGTGCCCAGCAGTGCCACCTATCAGTGTTGACTATCAGTACCCATCATCAGTGCTGCCTATCAGTGTAGCCTCATCAACGCACATCAGTGAAGGAGAAAAATTACCTGTTTGCAAAATTTTATAATAGAAACAAAGAAACTTTTTTTTTTTTCCAAATGTTTTGCTCTTTTTTTGTTTATAGTGCAAAAAGTAAAACACCCAGCAGCAAGTAAATACCACCAAAAGAAAGCTCTATTTGTGAGAAAAAAATTATAAAAATTTCATATGGGTATAATGTTGCATGACCGCGCAATTGTCATTCAAAGTGCAACAGCGCTGAAAGCTGAAAATTGGCCTGGTCAGGAAGGGGGTATAAGTGCCTGGTAGGCAAGTGGTTAAAGTGTTTTTTGAATAAGCTCCTATGCTTGAAAAACAGACTTGCACAATTTTTGATGACACTTTACATCTGTACAGTGTAGGACTGTGCTCAAAATCATACGTATTCCTTCAGCTTGTTTCTGTTGGTGCACTGCTTTGCCTTTCAATCAAATAAACACCCCAACGCACATGTGTGGTAGTGCATCACAACCAAACTATAACTACTTACCGTGCAATGTGGTGTGCTGTGTTAAAATACTGTCCAACACACAGAAATTGACTTTTTTTTTTTAATGTAGTGCGCCACAAAGCATGGTAAGGCAGTGCAAAGGCAGATAAGGATGTACATTTCATAAAAAAAAGTTTGGTCATTACGAATTTCTGTACTTTGCCTAATGCCTGCCATAGATGGATCAAATCTTGGGCGGTTCAGCAGGAACCGGCCGAGACTAGATCCATCATTGGGTAGGCTGATTTGTACCCAAGTTGATTCATCGATCAACTGCAGTACAACCAGCCTGTTGCATTTTTAGCATGCTATTACTGCCTGTGGCTATAGCCGCTAGCAGTAATCATTATGTTTTCTCGGCAGGGGCAGCTTCCTGCTGGGAGAACACGATAGCTCCCTGGGATCTATTGTCTTTTGATTGATTTTCTTTGCATAATCTATGGTCTGCCTAATTCCTATTTGTGTACTAGTGACAGTTATGTAGAGCATTATTATAGCTTACTTTAAATTGAAGAATTTTGAAACAACAAATTCTTTAGCAGTAATCACTTTGATTTTTTCCTTGTCACAGGTATCTGAAGGAATTTCGGACCGAGCAGTGCCCGCTGTTTTTACAACACAAATGTACTCAGCACAGACCCTTTACCTGTTTTCACTGGCATTTCTTAAATCAACGGCGTCGCAGACCCATTCGAAGACGCGATGGGACATTTAACTACAGCCCAGATGTTTATTGTACAAAATATGATGAAACCACAGGAATGTGTCCAGATGGGGATGAGTAAGTTTATTGTTGTTCAGCTTGTGTTTCGTTTTATTTAAAACTATACATGTTAAAACCGTTTTAAAAGGAATCTGGCATGGAGGTTAGTACCCGTGTCAGAAGATTCAAATATAATCTGCCATCCTTTCTCCTGTGCTGCATGCGGCTCCAGGATAGTGAATCCGAACCTATACTGCTTTACATTACTATCCCAGAACAAGAATGCAGCTTACATCTGAGGCTTCTCACACAGAATGGTTGCTTTTTAGCATATTTCCTTTAAAAGGATTCTATCAGAATAGAAATAGGAGAGCTGCCAATCTTGACTTGCTTTTAAAGTGCATTCTGCAGGGCTTTTCATCCCCACATTTCACAACTAGCGAGCCGCTGATTGGAGCAAGTATTCACCCAGTACAGTGTTGGGACACCCTATATGCATTCATTTCACTGACTTGCCAAATAGTGAAGCATGGGTAGGGATTACAGCCCTACAGCTTGTATCTTCAAAATCAGTTCAGCTTTTACAGTGTCTGTATTTATTTATGATACTTATATAGAGCCGTCAATTTACACAGCGCTTTACATATATATCTATGTTGTACATTCACATCAGTCCCTAACCCTCAAGGGGTGTACAATCTAAAGTCCCTAACTTATACATACTACACATACTAGGGCCAATTTAGGCAGGAGCCAATTAACCTACCAGTATGAGGAAACCAAAGTACCCCTAGGAAACCCACGCAGACACAGGGAGAACATGCAAACTCCAGGCAGGTGGTGCTGTGGTTGGGATTCAAACCAACAACCCTAGTACTGCCAGGCGGAAGTGCTAACCATAAGCCACTGCACTGCCCTCTTTTCTCACAGGTTCCTTTTTAAAGCTGTAATCACACTATAAGTTTTAAATAATGTTGTGTTGTAGCACACACCTTAAACACACTTAATCCTAGCTCTTGATTGTGTATTTAAAGTGAGCACAGCTTACCTTATTTTTGTTTAATAAATCCTCACCAGTGCTTTTAGGTTTCTACAATATGAAATCCAGAATATTTTTCCACCCGTGTGCATGTGGCCTTACTGAGGAAGCCATGTAGGCAGCTGCTGATGACCTCTTCTCTAAAAATACTCATTCCCTGGCTGTTGTTCCTGCTTATTAGGGTAAAGGGTAACTCCACTTCCGTGAGAACTTAAATAATGGCATCTACAATTGCTACTTAAGTCATATTGTATTTGAATGTTATAAAAATTGCCTTTCCTTTTTAATATACAGCTCTATAACTTTCTGTAAAATTCAATGCAGTATGGCAACCTGGAGGCATTATGTACACTGTTGATGAATGGAATGCCCTCACAAATGTTATTTCCTGCTTATGTGATTGGCTCATTGATTTTCCCAGAAGTCTGTACTAAGACACAAGTCAGATTTTAGGCATCTTCTGCTACAAAAAATTAATTTTTGGTGTGATACTGCCAAACCATTATTACTTCTAAAGAGATTCAGACTCTGCACTTTCCTCATTGGAACACTGCAAGTGCGCCAGCTGACTAAAAATTGAGTCATTCCCATTCAGATTCACTCTGCTCATCGACATAAGCAAACAAACTGCTTTTTCTTCAGAACAGAAATAGGTAGAACGTGCAACAAACTTTGCAATGATGTTCATCAATCACCCAGAGGGGGTTGTGTTTTTTTGTTTTTTTTTATCCTCAACAAAAGTGGAGATATTTTGAGTTACTGACCTGAACAAGCATACAGATTGAAGGCTTATTCCGATGGGCATATGGAAATTTATGCAAGATCTTGCTGGCAGCAAGATCCTGTGTGAAAGGTTGTGCTTACCCTGTACACATGTAACAACATAATATTTGTGTCATTTCACATAAGTGCACTGTAAATAAGTCACTTGGCAATATCGCATGCCCATGTTAACTCTGGCCTTCAGTCATTCACAATTGGCCAAGGTCAATCTGTGCATGTGCTGCTGCCGCATTAATGCCTCGTTCATGTAAACAGCATTAGAGTGTAATTGGTGGTGGTAAATATCACAATTTTGATATTTACATGTCGGCCTTGAGCAGCAATGGGGTTTTTGTATGTGTATGCATGTAAACATTAGCACAAATGTGCGGAAGCAGAAACTTTGCAGAAATTAGGGGCCTGGACACACCTTTGTTGCTGCCAATCACAGCTGTGTGAATGGACCCATAGGCTTCTATATTGCTGCATTCAGATTTGTACAAAACTACACAATGTACACATCTCTACACAGTGTCTGATTTTCCAGGTCTGCATGCTTGTTCTTTGACTCAAAATGTATTGAGAAAAGACACAACAAGTTATCCAGCAATTTCAGGAGGTCAGCAATGTAAGCCCCTGTTTTTCTGTTGTTATAGGTTTACTTTAAAGGAGAGAACCACATGTGCACCTTGCTAAAATATACTAGCAGTGACGCAGAAGCATGTCATTCTGAGCATAGAATTAACTTGAAATGATTGCCAGGTTTGTTTAGTTGAGCTGTTTTCTGTTTATTGTATATACAGTGCTTAAAAGGGGGTAGGAAGGTAACAGTGATATGCATTAGTATAGAAGTGGGGAAGGAAAACTTTATAAGAATTTCAAATGTCAGTTTTTAGTCTGGGTTTTTAGAAGATGGCATTCGTTCAGCTGCTGCAGGCAGTACAAACCATAGACTTTGTTGTACTTTGCATGCATGTTTCTGAAACTGACTACAGAGCAATCTATCCAAAAAATATTTGGGCTTTGGCTGTGTCAGTAAGTTTTCTGGCTCCTTTTGACTTTTGGAGATTGGTGGGGAAATCACTGCCATTAAAGTTGAATTCTGGGCACAAAAACTCTTATTAAATACACCCATCAGCCATAACATTATGATCACCCACCTAATACTAAGTAGGTCCCCTTTTTGATGCCAAAACAGTCCAGACCCATCGAGGCATGGATTTCAAAGTTAGCTCCACAAATGGCAGGACGCAAGGTTTGCCAGCAGAAGATTGCCCAGAGCACTGCCTCCTCCAGTTTGCCTTTTTCCCATAGTGCATGCTGGTGCCAGATGAGCAACACACGCACCTGGCCATCCACATGATGCAAAAGAAAACGCAATTCATCAGATCAGGCCTCCTACTTTCATTGCTCCATGGTTCAGTTCTGATACTCACGTGCTTGTTGTAGATGCTTTTGGCTGTGGACACGGGTCAGCATGGACACTCTGACTGATCTGCGGCTATACAGCACCATATGTAACAAGCAGTGATGCACTGTGTGGTTTGAAACCTTTCTTTGGGAACCAGCATTAACTTTTTCAGCAATTTGAGCTACGGTATCTCTTATATAGGATCAGAATACATGGCCAGCCTTTGCTTCCCATATTCATCAGTGAACCTTGACCGGGGCTTTATCCTGATGCTGGTTTGTCTGTTTTCCTTGCTTGGATCACTCTTGGTAGGTCCTGACCGCTGCAGACCGGGAACATCCTACAAGAACTGCAGTTTTGGAGTTTCTCTGATCTAGTCGTCTAGCCATGACAATTTGGCCCTTGTCAAATTCGCTCAAATCTTTATGCTTGCCCATTTTCTATGCTTTCAATTTACCAAATTCAAGGACAAAATGTTCACTTGATGTCTAATATATATAAAGTCTATCAGATGCCATTGTAATGAGATAATCAATAGTATTCCCTTTACCTGTCAGTGGTAATAATATTATGGCTGATAGGTGGATATTCCTCTATAGCCACCAAGGTTATAACTCCTTTTTGTGTCCGCCAAATGCCTTTACAAACCCAGATATTACCTTGTAGAAGTAGCAGCAACATCATCATTGTGTTGGACATAGCCTGTGCAGAGAGCAGAGATATCTATGGGAGGGACCCAGCAGGCCCCACCCACTATAGGAAACCGCAGGAGGTGGCAGATACAGGACCAGTCACCCTGCACAAGGACAGAGAGAATAAGTCACTGGTCTCTATTACAGGAGGCTCCTGCACAGAGGACTGCACAGATCTGGAAGAAATACACTAAACACACCAAGATACAAGACAGAGTGCACAAATCTTCTGTATTTAGACAATATTTGCTTACCCTGGAGTTCAGCTTTAAATTTCTGGAACAAAAAAAGTTACTGTTAGTTATTCCTCTGTTTAAAACTACAGAAAATGCAGCTGTTGGATTGGGATTTTTTTTTAATTAAAAGATAAGTTCACCTTTTGGGGAAAAAATAATAAATGTACTTTTTTTTGTTTTTAGAAAAAATGTGTGGTAATTCTTCTTCCTGAAGGAGCCTGTAGAGCAGAGGTGTCAAACTGGCGGCCCTCCAGTTGTTGCGAAACTGCAAGTCCTATCCTGCCTCTGCCTTTGGGAGTCATGCTTGTAACTGTGAATCTTGCAATGCCTCATGGGACTTGTAGTTTGGCAACAGCTGGAGGGCCGCCAGTTTGACACCTGTGCTGTAGAGCATTGCACCTGTGACCTGTGGATCATGGGTGCAATGTCAAGCTCCTGCAGACCCTACAGCTTTCAATCTGTAACTCTGTAGGGGCTGTCTGTTTGAAAGCTGCAGGGCTTGTGAATTACGAGATTGCTAATGAGCACCCTTACGGTTCATTAAGAAGTACAAGCTGTCTGCCACAGTGGCAAACAGGACTTCTAGTTCATTCATTCACGGATTGCTGTGAATGAATGACACGGCTGTGTGGGGGGAGCCCCCCACAGCTGCACTGTTTTTTTCGAAAATGAACAGCGGGTTTGGGTAGAGGGACCTCCACCTGAGGTCCCTGGGGAGTGGCTGCTGGAGCATGTTACACCTTACATATGGTGTAATATGCTCCACAATGCGAGCTTAGCCTTTAAATTAGTTGCAGTGTGAAAGGCATAGACGGGCTAGACCATCTGACACTTGAGGACCAACGTTCACTTCTGGTTGGGACTTCTCAGTCTGGAAATACCAGTTTCAGTGGACTGTCCCCAAGTAGATTGAATCTGTAATCTTATTTGTATTTTTT